GGAGAACGAAAGGAAAATGGTGGATGCAGGGAGGTGCAAGTCGGGGAGCTGTGAGGAGGGGAAGGAGCAGGGTGAGGAGGCGAAGGAGCAGGGCGGGGAGGAGAAGTAGCCCAAGGAGCCGGCTGCTTCGCTTCACCTGCCATCCCCGTCCCCACAGGCACCCTGTGGGGAAGCTCTTCTCCTGTCCTGCAGATGGGTGACAAAGGGGCAGCCCACACAGGTGCGATGACAGGAGAGTGGCCCACAGAGCTGGGTGTCCACTCACTTGGTGGCATGGCTGTAACTGACCACCTCGGCCAGGATCCACTGCTCATCCCCATCCACGGCCTTGACCCGGGCTGCCACCTTGTCTCCAGGTTTGGCCACATAGTCCCCAGAGGCCGGAATAGCCCCACAGAGGGGTGGGGGCCTGAGGGTGGGAGAAAGTGTTAGTCCTAGCCCCTTCCATGCCAGCTCCCCGCCAACCCCCGGGCCTGCCCTCACTTGTCACCAGGCTTCCCGATCCACAGGGGCAGGGTCATGGCTGACTGCTGCAGCAGGGTCATCAGCACGCCCCTGCGCATGGTCTTCCGAGGGGGCTCCGAGTCATTGTACAGGCCTGCGATCTTGGCCGCTGTGGGAAGGAAGTGAGCCCGAGGCACCAGGGACAGGTGCCTGTCCCCAGACCCACCCTAGGACGCCTGCGTGGAGCTGTCAGAGGAGTTCAGCCTGGAGCCCCATACCCCGAGTTAGCACCAAGGGCCCAGATGTGATCCCTGCCCCTCCCACTAGATGCCCACGGTGAGACGGCCAGGCTACACTAACAGATTGGTGAGATGTCAGGTACCGTTGGGGCGAGGGAACTAGTGGGGGAAAAGAGGGCTTCTGAGGTGCTGTCATGTGTTTCTTGACCTGGGTGCTGGTTACATCCGTTTGTTCAGTGAGTGTAAATCTCAGCCGGCTGTAGGTACACTTATGTGCACTTCAGCAAGAGAGAAGTGGGAAAGCCTCAGTCTGAAAGCATTTGCAAGCCACACCCTGTGTAAACTCTGCCTGAAATGCTGGCTTCAAGACACCTGAGGTGTGGTTCTCAAAAAACAGCCAGGTTCTCACCACGTCAAGAAATGGGAGTGGGGGGAAGGAGGAAGGTGACTGCCCCGTCTGTAGATCAAGAGGGAGAAACAAGAGGGAGCAGGGCGAATCGTCCTGGTCTGCAGAGGGAGAACTGGGAGACCCTGCCTGAGCACTGGGCATGCTCTCCATTCCCACCCCAGTCCCAGGCTGCACAGGTGCGCTTCTCTGTCAGATGCCCACGGAATGATCACACCAGGCTGAGGTTCCAGGCTCCTCCACAGGGAGACGTGACGCTGCTCTCAGGGCCCCTCACTCTGCCTGGTCAAGGAACACCGAACTTGTCTCTCACTCACCAATCCGCCTCTCTTCCAACAGAGACTTGATTTCCGCAATCTTATCTAGGGCTTTCCGGAGGATGCTGAGGGTGGGGAGAAGGGAGAGAAGAGGTCTGGATGAAGGACGAAGCACAGGCTTCTTTTTCTGGTTGCGGGAGGCCGGCTAACTCAGACCGACCCTACTGCCTAAAACTAGAAACCCTACGTCTGTGTTTCTTAATGTGAAAAGCATGAAAGAACTGATGAGACAGTAAGAAGTAGCAGGCCAAAACAATCGAAGGATCCTAGAGACATAAGCAAAGCAGAGAGAGCTGCCTTTGCCTGTGTGTGTTTGACAAATCCTGAAGAAGTTTTGCTGAGTGCTGGCAGCCTCCAACAACCTCCTGCGATTCGGAGGACAGAAGGTCAAAGTCAGGTATGCCCAAGGCGGGACATGTAACAGGAGACAGTCCAGAGGATTGTGGGGAGTTTTCTTGGCTCAGAGCAGAGCTGGGGTGGAGGGGACTCGTCCCCGAAAGGCTGCAGCCCCAGGAATTCTCTTGTGGGAGGAAGAAATCCTTGTGGGAGGAAGGCTTCTTTATCCTAGACCTTGGAGAAGGTCCCCCAAAGAATATTTCAACAGCGATCAGCAGCAGAGACTCCACTCTGGGTCATCTACTCTCCACCATTCCTCTAGCAAACCTTTGGTAAATGCCCACGTGGTTCTGAGGCCTTTGTTCATCGGGAGGGAGACACATGAGAACACAGCACAAGACAGTGTCCCAGTGGGCGCCCCAGAGGACTTGACTCTTGTGGAGCTCATCAGGCAGAGGCCAGAATGGGGGCAGCCTTGGTAGAGGGAAGCGGGCTAACCAAAGCAGGGAGGGTGAACACCTTGCCCCATGTGCTTGGGGCGTCGCAGTTCAGCGTTCCTGGGCAGGACCCTGGGAGGGCTCAGCTAGCGCCGCCGCAGGCTTGTCAGCACTGGGACACAGGGCCGTCAGCATCCAGGAAAGCAGAGACGGAGTAAAAGCCAGGAGGCCCAAGGGAACTTGGAAAGTCTGATCATTGCTGCTGGGCCTGTGAGGAGGACATGGTTTTAGGTAGCATGTCCTAAGCTGTATTCTGTGAGATATTAATGGAGTGGTTCTCAGCCCCAGCTGGATATTAGAATCCCCTGGGGAATTAAAAAAAAAAATCCCAAATGTTTTAAGCAAGAATCGTAAACAGATGCCCAAACTAGTGGGTCTGATGTGAAATGGGACATTTACATAGTCTCCAAGTATCTCCCATAAGACACTTACTAATTACACGGTGGAAAACAGCAATAACTGGACGCGGGAGAAACCAGGAAGAGACCACCTTAACCCACGGGACAGTGTCTTGCGCCTTCTAATATGATGCGCCGGGGACACCATCACTTCTGTGCTGTTACTGCCAAGAGCGTAAAACCTGAATGTAACCCTGAGGGAACCTCAGACAAACCCAAGTGAGGGGCATCCTACAAAGTCACTGGCCTATAATCTTCAAAATGTCAAGGTCATGAAAGGCAAAGACAGCCTGGGAACTGGTCCAGATTGAAGGAGACTGGAGAGACCTGATAATAAATGCAGTGGTGATCTGGGCTAGACAGATGGTCTTTTTTTTTGCCATAGAGGACATTAGTGGACGGTGATGAAATCTGAATAAGATTTGTAGGTTAGTGAATAGTTTTACATCAGTGTTAATTTCCTGACTTTCAGACATGTACCACTGTTGTAAAAGAGTGTCACTCTCCTTAGGAAATACTGACTGATGTATTTGGAGGTCAAGGGGGATTGTGTCTGCAACGGAAACGGTTCAGGAAAAAAATAGCGTGTGTATACATAAAGAATGATAAAGCAGATGTGGTAAAATATTACATTTATGTAAGTCTGAAATTACGTACAAATAAAAGGTTAAATCAATATCAATGTCTGAGCTCCACCTCAATTAAACCAGACCCTCTGGGCGCAGCCAGACTTGAGAACCAGAGTGTAAATGTATTCCACTGCCAGCAACTTTGTGAAACACTGAGTTAAAGAAATTGTTGTAGAACTTGGCAGAGCCTTTAATATCTTAACTTGCATCGTGAATCTCTAGGAGAGGAAGGCAGTACTCCATTTCGTAAAGTTATTGCAGTTCCACTGCAGAGATTCGAGGAAACAATGTTTTAAGACCATTTACTATGTAAAAAGCAGTTTTCTGGAAGTGAAACTTCTCCATCTCAGAACCATACAAGCTTTAGTTCATCTAGTATTACCTCCCAGGCAAAGCATGGGCCCCTACCTTCTGACAGGCAGCCAGCCTGCCTGACAGCAACCTTCGGGGATGGGGCCACCCCAAGAGTCCCCCTTCACCTGGGACAGTTAAGGAAGGGCTTTTTTCTGGCTGACGTTCCTTTGATCGCAGCCAAGAGCCCCAAGCCCTAACCTCCCTCCCCCCACCCCAGCACCTCCTCCCTGACCATTAGCAAGGGGCTAAGACAGTGTGGGCCCTTTAAAATAATCCAATACAGCTGCATACAAATGCACAGTGTAATAATTTGATTAGGAGAACCTTTTAAAAAGAAAAAAGATAAAAAATATTTCCTTTTAGGCCACCTCTCTGGCTGAGATGGTTGGAGTTGTGTTTGTAGAGCATCTTAGAAGGAAAGCAGCTGACCACAGGGGTGCTGGACAGGTGGAACCCTCCTCCCCTCCGCCCACCTAGAGCAGGAGGAACCTGCGGCCGCACCGCTGGCTTCTTTGCACCCTCTCGGCTGCAGGCTGCAGAGGGGGAGTGGCTGCAATAGAGGGATAAGGTAACAGGTGGTAGCTTCTCAGGCACATGGCTTCTTTGCCCACCTCTAAGTGGTCTCTGAGTGTGGTCCGTGTCAGGGGTGAGGAGGGAGAAATACCTTTCTCTGGCTTCCGAGCTGACACATCTCGTGACATGTCTAGACTAGAGTACGACCTCTGGTCAGCAACATGGGTCAATATCCATGCTGCAGGTGCCCACCAGCAAATGGTCTGCTTCCAGGCCTCAGCACCTGGCTCAGAAAGATGGTCCCACCACCACGGCCTTCATTCTCTCCTCCAGGCTTGTGAGTCATTCAGGCCCTTGGAAAGCTAAGCTACACCTCTGCCTGCACTGGCTTAGCCACTCATAAAACGACCTTCCCTAGCTGGAACTGAGTGGCTGAGGCTGTTCAAAGAAAGAGAGATAGCCACTGTCTGTGGCCAAAGTGTCCCAGAGGACACTATCCCTTACGCCGTGCACTCAGCCCTTTTAGAGCTGCAGCTTGAGAAATGCCTTTTGAACTCTTAGAAAATCACTTTTTCCCACCCAGGAATGGCTGCCCATCCTCCACTGGAATATGGAGAGGGAGGCCTTTGACCTTGTTTCCCTTTGACCCCTGCTGCCAGTGTGCCACCTTAAGGCCTTTTAAAAAAAGAGATGATTGTTAAATGAAGACACAGGGGCTACTTTCCATTTTCTGCAAAGCAGGAGGAGGAGAACCAGCTGGGAGGCAGCTGTGGTGCACACGGCAGAAAGCACAGCAATGCACCACAGGACTAACGGGACTCGGGCTAGTTCCTGACTAGGGCTCTTGGCGCCTCTTCAGTTTCTTGACAGTTTTAATTAATCCCTTTAGAAAATGGGCTGATGTGTGTTACACCACCTGGATCAGCGCCATAGGAACATACAGTAACATATGTTTTCCCCAACTAGACTCGGAGCTCTCTGTGGGCAGGGGGAGTCTCGGCTATCTCGCCCGCTCTCCCGTTCCCAGGATGGCGTTTGGAGGTGAGGAGGCCTTACTCGGTGTTTAGTCAATAAATGTACGAACGTTTAAGAGTCTCAAAAGTGAAATGCAGCAGAACTGCAAGAAGTTGGGACTGCAGTTATGAAACAAGCTTATAAATGTTTAACCCTAGTTCAGTCAATGCCAGAGAGAGCCCACACCAAACTGGTCTCAGAAGCGGTCACCTCACTTTGCCAGCAGATGAGAGGGGAAGGGACAGTTTGCCTTTTACTGTCATGTGAGCCTGAGTCACTCTGACTTACGCAAGCCAAACTCCAACCAGGTTGAGTGGGAAAGGGCCCAACTGTGGCCAGATGATAAACTTGCAAATCAGGGAGAATATGGGGGTGGGGAAGGGTGGGCTGGAGAGCCGAGAAGTCAACACCTCCAATCAGAATTCAGTGTCTCCTCTCCCCACCCCCAGTCGGCCTCACCCTTTTGTTCTGCTCCCCAACCTGGCATAGGGAGCCCCATCAGATCCCTTTGTCCAAGCTAAAAACCTTGGAATCTTCAACTTCTCTCTTCCCAACTGGTCCCTCAATTTGATCTCAGAAATTGCCCTTGAACCCATTCTTGCTTGTCCATCCCCACTGCCACTGTCTCAGCTCAACTCCATTACCATCTCTTGTCTCCTAACTAGCCTTGCATCTCACCCAGTCTACTCTCCATGGAGCCTTCATTGGCTCCCTGTGGCCTCCAGGATAAAGTCCAGGTATTGGAGGCCCTCCACATCCTGCCCTCTCCTTCCCCAGCCATACAGGACTAGTTCTCACTCCCCACATGCAATGCCCTGCAGGCACTCCTTCACGGCCTTTGCACACTCTGTCCCTTCTGCCTGGGCTCTCAGTCTTGTCTGCCTACTGACCCCTAGCTCATCTCTCCTCCTTCCTGAGGCTGTCCCAGATCCCCAGGCACAGTAAGCCCCATCTCTGCCAGCCCACCAACTACACTGTCCTGTAACTGTTTTTTTTAGGGTATCTCTCCTTTCTGGACTGCTTGCCCTTCAAGGCAGGATCCTTGCTATCCTTGTGTCTCTCTACATGGGGACTGCCTAGTGCCAGGTGCAGGGTAAGCACCAGCAAAGCTCTGCAGAATGGCAGCAGGCAAAGAAAATATGAGACCACGAGCACAGGCAGAGCCTGTGAAGAGCCAGATGGGAAGAAAAGAAGAGCCCTGGAGCCACCAACAATGCTTAGGGTGTTGACTCTGGTGCATGGTTGTCACCCCCACTGGGCCCTGTGTGTGCCACCACCCATATGTGCAAGGCAATTATTTCAACTGCAGGCTGAGACTCATTAGTGAGTCATGAAACTATTTCTTGGGTAACAACTGGCACTTAAAAAGTAAAACAGAGGGGGCCGGCCCCGTGGCTTGGCGGTTAAGTGTGCGCGCTCCACTACCGGCGGCCCGGGTTCGGATCTTGGGTGCGCACCAACGCACCGCTTGTCCGGCCATGCTGTCCCACATACAGCAACTAGAAGGATGTGCAACTATGACGTATATACAACTATCTACTGGGGCCTTGGGGAGAAAAGGGAAAAAAAGGAGGAGGATTGGTAATAGATGTTAGCTCAGGGCCGGTCTTCCTCAGCAAAAAGAGGAGGATTGGCAGATGTTAGCTCAGGGCCTATCTTCCTCACCAAAAAAAAAAAAGTAAAACAGAAATAGACTATACATAGTAACAGTAAAAACTATAGTTCATGTTCCAAGTCTGATACATATACATATAAAATAAATATGTATGCTGTGGGAAGGCAAAAGAATATGGACTTTGGGTTTAAAATTGGGCTCCTCCACTTATTACCTGTGTGACTTTTGGCAGATTACGTATCCCCTCTGTGTCTCAGTTTCCTCATTTGATGGTAACCCCCATTTTAGGGTTGCTCTGAGGATTAACTACATAAAGTACTTGGAATAGTACCTGGCACACAGTAAGGCCGCACAGACATTATTATTATTATTATTATTGGGCCACCGTAGAGAATATATTTCCTACAGTAAGTTATGGTCAAAAGAGTTTGAAAAACACTGGTATTAGGCACTTTATACCATCATCCCATTTTATTTTGACAATTCTGTAGGCAATTGTCATCCCTGTTTTAATGATGGAGAAACTGAGTCTCAGCTGAAGTGATGGCCTAAGGCCACATGACTAGTGATTGGCAGCGCTGGGATTTGACCTCCACCTTGCTGCATCTATAGAACAGGAGGGCTAGGGGGATGAGGGCACCTAGAAGTGGGCTCTAGGGAAGGTGGGCCCCAAGGGAGAGGCTGGGGAGTAGGAATCTGCTTATCCATGGCAGGAAAGGCAAGCTGGGGTTGTGGCCTGTAGGCTCCTGCAGCCCAGCGCCCGGCCGAGGAAGGAGGAGGTGCCGCAGACCAGTGGACGGTACTCACTTGCACTCGGCCTCTGCATCGGCCTTGGCAGTTGTGTAGAGGCCCCGCAGCTTTGTCCGGTAATAGGGAGAGACTGCAGAGTAAAGACAGGGAGAAAGAGGCATGGGTGAGGGGCAGCTGGCAGTAATGGGGTGCTGCTTCCAGGAAACTGGAATCAGACTTTGGGGGGCGCAGAGAGGCCACGGACCGAGGTATGAGCTTTACTGGCTCAGAAGTGCTCCCCGAGGCGGATAGCCCAAGTTCAACAAGTTTACATTTTCATATGGTAAAATGTTCTCACTGCATCTAGGAGAGGACTTTCTAACCTTTGCCATAGCATGACACACGCAGAAAATATTTCTCAGCATAGGAGAAAACAGAAAACAATTCTCAAAGCTGCTCAGAGCTGGAAAGCACCAGCCTAGGAGCCTGACTGTCTAGGGCCTTGGGGCATGTGCAGGGCACACTGGGAGGGAAGCTGTCTCTAGAAAACACCAGCTAACTGGGGTGCCTGTGCACTCTAAGGGGGGTCCTGGATGCCTCCTAACAATTTCACTGACTTTCCAGTCCCTTGAGTTGGGGGATTCTAAGGTCCCTTAGCACTAGGCAGTCTGTCATCTGTCTCTGGGTCACCTTAGGTCACCAGCCTAAAGGAAAACTGTCCCTCTGGCCTAAGGAGCAGTTCATTTTGGATTATGCAGATATATGCAATAGTCCCTTTTGGAAATGACACCATGTTCCCAGTCTTGGCCCACACCCCCACTCATCCCCTCCTCTCCTGAGCCCAGCTACTCACTCTTGTTCTCTGTCTGCATCCGCTCGTGGGTCTTCTGGATGTTCACTAAGTTGTGTTCGCTCCGCGAACGCTCTTCCTGCAAGGATCAAGTCAAGAGGACATGAGGAGGCCCTTCATCCTGCTGTGACACCCTGCATTCCAGGCCAGAGGACCCATAAACATGGCCCTCATTTCTAAATCCAAATTCAGGATAAGTTCAAAAGGATTTTCTTCCCTGACTAATAGAAAAGCGTTACAAAAGGCATTAAAGTTAAATCATAAGTTATACATTTAATGACTCCCTTTACCAAAAAGAGAAAAATTGATCTACAGATTCAATGCAATCCCCATCTAAATTACAGCTGAATTCTTTGCAGAAACTGACAAGCTCATCCTAAAATTCATATGGAAATTCAAGGGACCCAGAATAGCTAAAAGAATCCTGAAAAGAAAAACAATGTTGGAAGACTCACATTTCCCGATTTCAAAATTTACTACAAAGCTATGGTAATCAAATAGTCTGGTACTGGCATATAGATCAATGGAACAGAACTGCGAGTCCAGAAATTAACACATATATCTATGGTCAATCCATCTGAGGAAGAGGGAATGGGGAAGGATGCTGGTACAATTCTTCTCCACATCAGAGGTCCTGGGACCAGCACTGCAACTAAAGATGCCGGAAGCAGGGATGATTCCTCAAGAAGACATTGTAACTATACGTTTTAACCTTTACATCAGAATTTCTAAGTGCCTGAGGGGATGGGTTGTGGCTTCACCCCTTCTGGCAAAATGGGGTTAACAGTGAACACAGCTGTACTGCCTAGTGGTCAGAGTAGCCCACCAGTTCGCACCTATGTAAGCCAACCCTACATGAATGGACTTGCTGGACTAGCGCTGCTGCCAGCAATCTGGACCAGCACAGTATAGCCAAACCTAATGTCCTTCCAAAGGTAGAAAAGTTGGTGTAAAAATCAATCACAAATGGATAGAAGGAGCAACAGTAGCTGAGGGTCAAAGAATGAATAAATGGGTTATGCAATGAGGGAAATTCAATAGTTAATTAGTATCTTGAGAGAGGCTGAGAGCAAGAGAATAATATTGGCTCTTGGCTCAGTTATACCAGATGACCAGTTTGCCAAGATCACCCCTGCTTTTGGAACCTGACCAAGTCAAATGGATGCCTGCAAAGCTGAGTGGCATCCCTCTGAGAGGCATTTTAGTTATATGGTATAACGATAAACTAGACTAACTGTTGATGACTGAACAGAATTCTAGTAATGTGTCAGTATCTTTTCTTTCTTTATCTTTTAAATTTTATTAATAAAATATTTTTAGAGCAGTTTTAGTTTACAGAAAAACTGAGCAGATAGCAGATAACAGAGTTCCCATATACTATACCTGCTCTCCCCTGCACAGAGTTTCACCTATTATTAACATCTTGCATTAGTGTGGTACATTTGTTACAATTAATGAACCAATATTGACAATGATTATTAGCTAAAGCCCACAGATTACATTAAGGTTCACTTGTTGTGTTGTACATTCTATGGGTTTTGACAAATGCATAATGTCCTGTATCCACCATGACAGTACCCTACACAATAGTTGCACCTCCCTAGAACTCCCCTGTCCCCCTATCCATCTCAGCCTCTCTCCAAGCCCCTGCAATCACTGATCTTTTTACTCTCTCTATAGTTTTGTCTTTCCCAGAATGTCATACCGTTGGAACCATACAGCATGTAACCTTTCAGACTGGGCTCTTTCCCTTAGCAATGTGTGTGCCAGTATCTTTTGACTCTTACTTTTCAGGTTACACCCCACTATGAAGGATATCTTCCGGGAAGGAATTTCCGGGAACTGCTGCCTCCTAAGCCATCGGGCTGTGTGGTGTGTGGCTGCCAGCACATTGACCACTGTGGAACTATAAACCGGGATGATCGAATGCTTAGAAAGGTCCCAGTTATAATGGACAGAATACAGCAGCGCATGCCCAATATGCCACAGCGAGTTATGCACAAGTATGTATCACCTTTGTTTTTGTGAATGAAAAGCTATTTTTTAGAATAGGAAAAAAATGGGTTTCTGATAAGATTAAAGCAGCAGACACCACATGGTGGGTCCAAATTCCCCTGGGGAACAGCCTCACCCTGAGATGAGGAAGGTTTTGAGAGGCCATATGATACACTCAGGCTAAATTACATCTAGGTGTTCCCACCACGCATCTAACCCTAGTGTGGGGCACCCAACACTTTTGGGTACAAAGTATGTATCCTACCTGCACCCAGACCATGAGCACACAACAGCAACAAAATGCCTGGCGGAGTAAGCAACATTGTCCCACAGATAGAAAAGGGCTTTAGGGGAGACAGGTGTTGGTGTGTCCACGTGGGACAAGCTGAATGCACTTTTGGCTTTTTTTTTGTGAGAAAGATCAGCTCTGAGCTAACATCCACGCCAATCCTCCTCTTTTTGCTGAGGAAGACTGGCCCTGGGCTAACATCTGTGCCCATCTTCCTCCACTTTATATGGGATGCCACCACGGCATGGCCTGACAAGTGGTGCATCGGTGCGCCCCGGAGATCCGAACCCAGGCCGCCAGCAGCGGAGCACGTGGACTTAACTGCTACGCCACGGGGCCGGCCCCTGAATTCACTTTTGGAGAAGCAGCATTATGGAGGGAAAGATTTGTTATTTAGAATAAACAGACTAAGTGAGTTCTCCTGCAGGAGGAAGGCAAGAGAGTTAGCCTGGAAAGACAATGAGGCTTTAGTAAAGTGGGTCAGGCCAACCCAACAAAGTAACGCCTGATAATTCTAGGACCTATCTGTTGTCGAGAAAGGGCTTGCACCCTGACCCACCAGAGTCTCTGGACTATTTTAATACAGATGGAGGCTGAAGTAATGGGGCAATGGCCCTCCATCCTACCTGCTGAGCCCCAAGGGGCACACCTATGGGAATCTCATGGACCTCCAAACCAATGGAAGCCCTCTAGAGGCACTTGTAATTTACACTGATGCACCATGACTACCCTTGATCCAAGAATAGATCAAAGTAAGACATATGCTAAGTACAGCTAGCAGAGCTAGGACTTTTACTTTGAATATCACCTGTGTCCTCCTTGTAGGTGGGAGGTAGGTCCTGCTATACAACAGCACACAAGGGAAACCAATCTCAGTACAAGCTGTGAGCTGAGACAGAGTGACTGGCTTTGTCCCCAGCTGACTTAGAAATAACTGAATCGTGGCCAACTGTAATAAAGCCTGTCCATAATAATATCTGTTAAATGGGCAGGGCCAATCCTGTTGGGAAGGCATAACAAAGAGCTCTGTAATTCTTACTGATTTGTTTTGTAATGAAACTGAGTTTTACCATAACCATACCTCAAAGAGGTGTCACACTCTGGCATTTTTTCTAAGATTCAACCACCTTATATAAATAAGTCTATGATAATACTGACACTAATGACAAAATGTATTAGGAGATTGAGTAAAATCCTTCTCAGAATGTAATACTCATGGAAAATGAGGAAAAACTGGATTTAGCTAACCATCAACTAATTTCTACGCTGAACAGTTCTGCACAAATTTATCAGGAGGTACAAATAGTGGTTGATGAAGGGAGGAAACAAATGAATACAAAAATATGAAAATGTATGTACTGGTTCCATAAGACAGATGAGTTATTTCTTTAAATCTATCCCTACCCCACACTGGCTCCACCAAATATCAGGCATATTCATACTGATCTGCTTGCTGTATCTGTTATATAAATGCTACACTAAATGTAGATAATAAGACAAATATGACTGTTTTGCTATAAGAGGGCCCAGCTCAAGGGCCAGGGAGGTGGTGTGGGCAGTAAAAGATTAACTCAGCAGGCCTGGGTTTTCAAACCCTGCACATTTCAAAAAAGGTTTGGCCCTTGACCACCTCCTGGGAGATAACCTCTAAACCCTTAGAATACCTCGCCTGATAAGAGTTTGTTTACCTGGGGTAAAGGGGGGAGGAAAAGGAGAGTGGCTGCTATTGGGTACCAGGCATTTTTGTCAGGTAATGAAAATGTTCTGAAACTGCTCGTGGTGATGGTTGCACAACTCTTTGAACATACTAAAAACCACTGAATTGTACACTCTAATGGGTGAATTGTGTGGTATGTGAATTATATCTCAATATAGCTGTTATTAAACAAAGAGAATCATGAAATCCTGCACATGATAGAAAATCAAACAGGAATGGTAGTCAAGATTACATCATCTCGGTTCCTGCATGTCCAATCTCTCTGAACATTACATCCCCGCCCCGCCCCCTCGTGGCTCTGGGTCACAGTCCATGTTCCCCTCTAGGAGAGGAGGTCGTGGCTTTTTACCTGGGTTTGTTTGATCAGCTGATGGAGCTCTGTGAGAAGTTCTGCAATGCGGGAATCAGCAGACACAAGGGCCATGGTATATGGGGGCACCTGGGGTGGAGGAGGAACAGAAGAGAACCTCATTAGTGGCTGTTGTGGGTTAAACTGTGTCCTCCAGAAAGATATGTTGAAGTTCTAACCCCTGGTACCTGTGAATGTGACCTTATTTGAAAATAGGGTCTTTTCAGATGTAACCAAGATGTATGTTAAGACGACGTCATACTGGAGTAGGGTGGGTCCTTAATCCAATATGACTGGGGTCCTTATAAGAAAAGGAGAAGAGACACAGAGATAGACACATACAGAGAACACCAGGTGGAGAGACGGACACACACAGAGAAAAGTCGGCCAAGTGACAGAGGCAGAGATCAGAGTTATGTAGCAGCAAGCCAAGAAGTGCCAAGGAGTGCTAGCAACCACGGGAAGCTGGGAGAGGCATGGAACAGATTCTTCTTCTGAGCACCCAAGAAGGAACCCATCCCGGACTGTGGAACCAAGCCGACCCCCTGAGTTTGGAATTCCAGCTTCCAGAACTGTGAGAGAATACATTTCTGTTGTTTTAAGCCACCCAGTTTGTGGTAATTTGTTACAGCAGCCTTAGGAAACTAATACAGCGGCAAGTTGTCCTGGAATTCTACCCCAATCCAAGGATGTCTATATTCAGTATGTTCACCAAGTCAAGCCGTACTTATTCAGTACCTTCCAAAAGCAGCATGCCTGGCCCTAGCTCTGCTGCTACTCTCCTGACAAATGATTCAAACATTCTGGTCTCCATTTTTTTAATCTGTAAAATCTTATTTAAGATTTTATATGAAGACATTTTCCCCGTCACAAAACACTTACTTCCTTACTGTAAAGGGGAGAATTATTAACTACTAAAAAATATCTGACTTAAGATAAGATGAATGTATTCTGATGAAAATAAAATGTAATAAAAAGTAATTGGGAAAAGAATAAAAGACAATAAAAGGTAATAAAGGAGGAGTTATCTTTGCTATTTATTTTAACTAGGTAAAAATGGACATATGCCTAAAGATAAAGATAGATTGGAAAAAACAAGAAGAAACTTTTTAGGGTGCTGAAATTTTTGCATGATACCGTGCCTTCTTAGAAAGATTGTTCAATTAATACATCTCTATATCCACAAAGATCAGATTCACACTGAATAGAATAAACTTCCCCCTCACTAATAAACTGTGAACTCCATGTATTTAAATATTCATATCTTCTTAAATTTTCTGCTTCTCTTTATTAAAAAAGCAATATACAACCTAGGAATAGAGGGGGAGCTTCCTCAACCTGATAAAGGGCATCTATGAAAACCCACAGCCAACATCATACTTAATGGTGAAAGACTGAAAGCCTTCCCCCCTAAGATCAGGAATAAGTCAACACTGTTCTGGAGGTTCTAGGGAGGGCAAGTAGGCAATGAAAATGCAATAAAAGAATCCAGATTGGAAAACAAGAAGGAAAACTCTCTACCTACAGATGACATGACCCTGTATACAGAAGATCCTGAGGAATCCACTAAACAACTATTAGAACTAGTAAAAAAAAAAAAAAAAAAAAGTTAGAACTAATAGCAAGGTCACAGGACACAAGATCAATAGACAAAAATCACTGTATTTCTATACAGCTGTAGTGAACAATCCAAAAATGCAATTAAGAAAAAAATTCCATTTACAATTGCATCAAAAAAATAAAATACTCAGGAATAAATTTAACCAGAGAGGTGCAAAAATTTTCACTCTGAAAACTACAAAACATTGTTAAAAAAATTTAAGAAGACCTAAATAAATGGAAAGTTATCCTATGTTCATGGATCAGAAGACTTAATAATGTTAAGATAGCAATAGTCCCCAAACTGATCTATGGTTTCAATGCAATCCCTATCAAAATCCCAGCTGGGTTCTTTGCAGAAATTAATAAGCTCATCCTAAAATTCATTTGGAAAGTCAAGGGATCCAGAATAGCCAAAACAATCTTGAAAATGAAAAACAGTTTTCCCAATTACAAAACATACTGCAAAGGTACAGTAATCAAGATGGTGTGGTACTGGCATAAGGATAGACATAAAGATCAATGGAGCAGAACTGAGAGACCAGAAATAAACCCTTATATCTACGGTCGATTGATTTTCAACAACAGTGCCAAGACAACTTAATGGGGAAAGAACAGTCTTTTTGATAAATCGTGCTAGGACAACCAGATATCCCCATGTAAAAGAATGAATTTAGATCCCTACCTCTGACCACATACAAAAATGATCTAAATAGACAGTTTTCCCAAGAAGTTATCCAAATGGCCAACAAGCACATGAAAAGATGCTCAATACCATTAGCCACCAACAAAATGCAAATCAAAACTACAAGGAGTTACCATTTCACACTCGCTAGGAAGGCTGTAATCAAAGAGATATAAGTGTTGGCAAGGATGTGGAGAAATTGTATGAATGGATAAAGTGTGGTATTATCCATACAATGGAGTATATTACTCCACAATAAAAAGGTATGAAGTACTGATTCATGCTACAACATGGATGAAGCTTGAAAACATTACACTAAGTGAAAGAAGCCAGACACAACAGACCACACTGTATGATTCTATTTATATGAATTATCCAGAATAGGCAAATCCAAAGAAATCGGGGGCGGGGGGGAGGAGCATGCTGAGGGAGAAAGGGGAGTGACTATTAATGAGTATGGGGCCTTTGGGCCAGGTGATGAAAATGTTCTGAAATTGATTGTAGGATGGCTGCACAACTCTGAATACACTGAAAACGAACGAATTGTACATTTTAAATAGATGTAAATCCCCATCACCCCCAGCCCTAAATAAACCCTAATCTACTTCCTCTCTAATAGATTTGCCTATTCTGCACTTCATTTCTTTTTATTGCTGAATAATATTCCATTGTCTAGATATACATTTTCTATATCAATTCATCAACAGATGGACATTTGGGTTGTGTTGACTTTTTGGCTATTATGAATAATGCTGCTAGGAATACTCACATACAAGTCTTTGTGGATATATTTTCATCTTCTAGGTATATACCTAGGGTGGAACTGCTGGATCACATGGTCACTCTGTTTAACCTTTTGGGGAACTGCCAGACTGTTTCCAAAGTAGGTGCACCATTTTTACATTCTCATCAGCAATGTATGAGGGTTCTGATATCTCTGCATCTGCACCAACACGTATTATTGTCTTTTTTATTACATCCATCTTAGTAGGTGTGAAATGGTAACCAGTGATTTTGATTTGCATTTCCCTGATGGTTAATGATATCGAACATCTTTTCATGTGTTTATGGGCCATTTGTGTATCTTTTTTGGAGAACTGCCCTTTGCCCATTTTTATTGGGTTATTTTTTATTATTGAATTGTGTCCTTTGACGCACGTTTCTAATTTTTATGAAGCCTAATTTATCTATTTTTCTTGGATTGCTCGTGACATTGATCCATTTTTTCTCACATGTGCATCACAATTTTTACCAACACAGCTTTATATCATGTATTTTGGTACAGAGAAGAACATGTGCCTTCAAAAAAAAAAAAGTCTAGTTGCATTAGCTAGAACCACACGAAATAATGGATCTCGAGTTTAGACATTGGAAGTGGATAAATTTGAGAATGATCAGCATACAGGTCGTTACTAAAGTCTTGGGAACTGATGACGCTAGGGACTGTCTGCTGAGTGAGAAAAGAGGAAGGAAGAAAGAGCCCCACTGAGCCACAAAGGTGAAGGTGTGGACCCAAGATACAAGTTCAGCGGAACGATGCTGGGAAGGAGGGAATTAGCATGGAAAAGGGTTGTTCTCTCCTGCTAAATAAAGAAGGAATCCTAGTCAGACCCACCTGCTTTCTACATGCCCACACCTGTGCATATTAAAATTGGGGGAGAGGGTCGGCCCAGTCGTGTAGTGGTTGAGTTCTTGAGATCTGCTTTGGCAGCCTGGAGTTCACAGGTTCGTATCCTGGGCGCGGACCTGTGCACTGCTCGTCAAGCCATGCTGTGCCAGCATTCCACATGCAAAATGGAGGAAGATGGGCACGGATGTTAGCTCAGGGCCAATCTTCTTCAGCAAAAAAGAGGAAGATTGGCAATGGATGTTAGCTCATGGCTGATCTTCCTCACCAAAAAAAAAAAAAACGAAAATTGGGGGAGGCCCCACAACCGGGCAGGTGGGTTGTCTTGATACTGCACCGTCACCATATGGCCAGCAGGCACTCCCACCGTGCTGCCAGGTGACCCAGTTGCCCTTCCCTCATGATTCTGACATTTCAACCTTCTCTCTCCTCACCACCCTTGCTCCTGCCCTCAGATCCGGCCTGGGCCCCCTTAGCTGACGTCCAAGGTGCCTACTTTGCTCAGAAGAGAAGCCAAAGACTTTATTCCCATCATCAAAATGAGGAGCTACTATCAAAATGAGCAGCACCTGTCACCTGGGCCGCCCCCTATAGTGGGAAGAACTGTCTATTACTTACTGAAGATCAGCCCCTCCTCTGTGCTCCGAACCCCATCTCCTCTTGGACCATCTGATACTCCTTTCCTAGCTTTAGGAGCAAACAAGTATACTTTAGGACAGCCCATCTTAAAAAAGCATAGGAGCTTCTGAACCCCACACATCTCTGTTCCTCTTCACAGCAGAACTTCTGAAGTTGTCCAAGCATGTGCCTCTACATCCTCGTTCCCATTTTACTTTTCAACCCACTTCAATTTAGCTTCTCTCCTCACCAGTCCAGCAAAAATGCTCTCAAGAGAATGAATAACCTCCTACAGGTCAAAGCATTAGATCCTTTCCGGCTTTATCCGACCTGACCCGTTAGCATCTTGACACAGGTGCCCCCTCCCTCCTCTGACTTCAGGGCCTCCCTCGCGCATGGCTCGCCTCCGGCTCCTCCTTAGTCTCTTGGGCTGGCCCCTCTCCTGCCTGTCCTCTAAGTGCTGGCGCTCCTCAGGGCTTGAGCCTGGCCACTGTCCCACACACTCCTAGGTCTCCTCCAGCCCCCACCCCTCCCCCTGCCCCCGTCTGTGTGATGACATCT